TGTAAGAGATGTTGTTTCTTTCACGATGTATACTTTTAAATATACAAATTAAATAAAGAAATGATGTTTACCTACCGAAAAAAAAAAAAAAAAAAATCTATGTAAAATATTGATAATATGTTCTTTCAATCCAAAAATTATTATATTGTTTTAATGCAATTAGATAATATGAAATATAATTAATATTTCATATATTATAGATAATTTGATAGAAATAAGCTAATTGCAGTTTTTAATATAAAATTTGTAAATGAAAACTGGTAACTGGTTAAAAGATTATAAGAAATCTTGCACTAATCATTATTAATAAAAAATAAAAACTTTTAAAAAAAATAATATGTTGGGTTTTAAAAAGAATATTTAAAATATATTAATTAAAAAATTAGTATGTGTTTAGTAAATTATGTATATAAATAATTTTAATATAGAAAATTATCTTTTTATTTATCTTTTCTATTTCAAGTTATTGTTTAATACTGTTATCAATTACTAAACCTCTTAATGTAAATTATTGCTAAAATTTCAGAAGTCAGCTTTATTCTTGAAACTTTTATTGCTTTAAATAAGTTTTCTGATTTATACTTTTTTCTAAGAATATATTCTATTAAATAAAAAGTTTTTTTTTTTTTTTAGCAAAATAAATCTTAATTTTAGTTAATAAATAAGTAATATATTATTTTTATAAATTATATCTAAAAATTTAATATTATAGATAGGTAAGCAGAATTGAAAAAATTTACTATATATAAGCAATTTTTATTGTATTGATTTATTTCGATTTAATAAATAAACAACTCTAATTTAATTGAAAAGAAAAAAAAATAAATACAATAAAATACTTGAGTAATAATTGTTAATCTAAAATTGAAAGACTAATATTTTATAAAACTATGGAAAACATTTAATTATTTTTGGATACTTATTATAATACTAAAAAACAAATAAATAGAACAAGCAATAAAATATTACATAATAATTAAAGTAAACTCTATTTATTGATAAAACAACTTTCAGCTATTTAGAAATATTGTGAAATATTAATATAAAAAAGAGAAGTAACCTATCTGATAATGTATTCCTAAAAATCAAACCAAAATTTTACTTGAAATAATTTTGTGTAAATAATTTTCATAATCATATCCATAGAGCTAGAAAATCAATAGGAAATAGATAGCGTTTTTAGCAAGACAAACATACGAGTCCCCAGATTATTAAATGATTTTTTTATAGTTCAAATTTGAATCTGCATGAGAACTATTAAAGGTAATGTTGAGAAACAGATGCCAAAGAATCTGGCTAATTTAAAACAATATATGTTAGAAGAATAGAAAAAATTTCTAAATTTATTTTTAAGTAACTTTAAAAAAATGTTTAATAATAAATAATAGTTTTCTTCGCTTTATAAAAATCTCGTGATTATTTATTCCGGTTTTTACTATTGTTGTCGTCACCGGCGAGTCTGTCACTACAACGGCGCACTCTTCGCGTAACGATAATCCGAACGCTTGGATTTCGGCACTAAATAAGGTAAGACCTTAACTCCGAGGCGGATTACGATTTGACCGACTTTTCACACTTACTAATCTCTTCTTGACCATCACTCTCTCTTTAGGCGCGTCTCAAGACTACAAGTGTCTCTCTTTACGGTACCAAAAGGTAACTCAGCTTCTTTTCTTCTTAAAGACGTTTACTTTAATGTAGTGGCGCGGACTTAGTTATACTTTAGGAGAGCAAACAAAAAATAGCATCGACCCCACAGGGGTCGTTATAATAATGTCCGTTATGATGGATGAATCTGATAAGTTAAAGTCCGATATACTGGGATGAAATAGTGATATGCGGATGATAAAAATTTTTTTGGGTTTGGTAATTTTTTTTTTTTGGTTTCGGGGTTTTTTTTTGTCTTTTTTTCGGGATTCGGATCTTTTGTCTTTTTTCTTACAGGAGCATAGCCCGGGCTAACAAGCTAGTTTATTTAATAAAGCGCGAGTGTGCAAAACAAAAACAAGTGTTCTAAAGCGAAACTCTAAATCGCGGACCTAGAACTTCTCTCACTTTGGCTCAAGCTACATAAACTATCCTATATATATGCCTTGTTGACGCGTAAATGCCCATTTCATGCCATTACCAATTATTACATCATTTCGCCATCATCGACACTATTGTTACGCGACGCGCGTTCCCATCCCTATTGTTCCCATAACACTATATATGCGCATTATTATTTTTTATGTGTATAGAATGGGTGAGTATAATTGTAATACATTTATATAAATAATAAAACTCGGGACAAAAATTTAGCAATAGTTCAAAAATTCAAAATAATGGACATGAATAATTACAGAATTGGTGTGATCCAGTTGTCATTAGCGAGGCCTCCGTCATTTTTAAAAAATGTTTTGACCATTTGGAGTTGTATAGAAACAATAGGGTGCAATAAAACAAAGTCGAACGCTAAACACTCTCCTATGAGATGGACTATAAGCAATAGACTATATGTCATATTCGGATGAGACAATCTAAAAGACAGAATTGAGTCTTACTGGTGTAATCTGGTTGTCATTAGCGAGACCTCCGCATTTTTAAAAAATGTTTTGGCCATTTGGAGTCGTATAGAAGCAATAGAGTGCAATCAAACAAAGTCCAACGCTAAACACCCTCCTATGAGATGGAGACAATCACGCAGTTGCAGTTCAATTAATAAAAGAAAACCATGTGCCTTAATAATATAAAAATAATGTGAAGGAGGATCAATCAGATAACTATTCATATAATAACTACTAAAAGTAAAAGTTAAATTGGGAAACCATGCCTCAATGTTCGTGACTTTTTTGAGAGAGGTGATCCAGTAATTTTACCAAAACAGTCCCCAACCTCGATATTGGCATGTTCTCGGTCCTTTCCCTTTTGTTTTCTTCTATGTGCTCGAGCATGGGATAAAGCGATATCATTTGCTTTATTGCATATGTAGTTGAGGGTAGCCTATAATTGCGTAAAAATTGCATTACACAAATTTATAAAGCAGTAATATGACAAAAATTGCCTTTAACATTTTTCATCTCTACATAAAAATTTTCTATACATGCAAGTGTTCTTATGGAATTGGGTAAGGCTGCTGTGCACAACTTCCCATACCTACAAATGTTCGTTCCTTTGCAATCAATAGCAACGATCTGATGTGTCCAGCCTTTAAAAAAAATATATATATGTAAGTATTTATGAATAGAGCTTAGTTTGTGTCAACTATCTGCTTACCCCATGATTGGACCCAAGAAAAAATATTTTATGTAATCTTCATCCAGGGCGTTTGCATTAGAGTTGAAATTGCGTGGAGGATATCCCTCATCTTTATGGATAAGTCAATACTATCCGAAGATTTTTTTTTACGATGTGGTTCTCGGAGATCACCACTTCGAAAGCCTCAAATTATTTATACTGTGTTTAACGTTCCTCGAAAGTCACATTTTTGTCCCACTTGGACGGAGTGTAATTGAGCGACCTTCATTACGTCGTTGAGCCGAAGCAATGTGACTCATTTGATAGTAATTCAGGTTTGAGTCGGGTCGATGATCCGGATCTCTGAAATTATTATTTGCCTCGCAACAATTTATCAAAGTGGAGCGTAATGTCAAACATGTTATTAAACTTATCAAGTTCTTTTGCGAGTTTGCAAGATCGCCCGCTGATTCGTAAGGGTTTGTCAAAATACCCTCCTATAGCTGAAGATTGCCTAACATACAAGTTCGTTCGTTCATATTGGAATTAGGTCTTTGTTATTAGCCAAGATTGTATGAAAAGTCATTGCGTTCGAAATACTGGGAATAATGGTTACTGTTTAGAATTTATTAAATACTGTATTTGTACACCTATCATAATTTAATAATAAAATTTAAACTATAATAATTTTAACCTTATAAAATCAAATATATAATTTGATATTTTTTTTTAAAAACTCAGACTGAAAATATTGAAAGGGTCCAATGAGTCAAACCCGATTTTGACCCGATCAGAAATTATTACGTAAGCAAATGATCCGTTGAGTTGAGTTGAGTTGAGTTTCAGTTGAGATTGAGTTGAGTTGAGTTTCGGTTGAGATTGAGTTGAGTTGAGTTTCGGTTGAGATTGAGTTGAGTTGAGTTGAGTTTCAGTTGATTGAGTTGAGTTGAGTTGAGTTGAGTTTCAGTTGATTGAGTTGAGTTGAGTTGAGTTTCGGTTGAGATTGAGTTGAGTTGAGCTTCGGGTTGACCCGACTCATTCGAAACACTACTTACGAGTCCATTTTCAATTTGATCTTGTCGAGAAATCTTATGAGCATGTTTGTGAATGAATCTCAAAAGCAGACTCCGAAATCGGTAGATCAAGATAAGCCAAATTCTCTGTAGTATGAAAAGTATTCGAAGAGAAATTAAATTATAAAATAAAATAAAAAAAAGTCCTACTGTATCTTACTTACTATGTCAAGACCGTTCTCTTAATAATAATATAAATGATTTATAATATAATGATATATTTTCTTTTATAATTTCTATTTCATCTTTAAAACTTTTCAAAATCTCAGTCCAATCGCCCAGAGAGAAAAGTTGTTTTTTTATTCCGTCTTGTTAATATATTTATCCTGTAATTGTAAAAATGAAGGGAGGTTAAGTATTCCTTTTCTTTTCGCGTATGTCCATCCAAAATTTTTCTGTAGATTTCTTTTTTCTTACTTTCTTCTTATGAGCATGTTTGTGAATGAATCTTGAAAGCAGACTCCGAAATCGGTAGATCAAGATAAGCCAAATTCTCTGTACTATGAAAAGTATTCGAAGAGAAATTAAATTATAAAAAAAAAAAAAGTCCTACTGTATCTTACTTACTATGTCAAGACCGCTCTCTTGATAATAATATAAATGATTTATAATATAATGATATATTTTCTTTTGTAATTTCTATTTCATCTTCAAAACTTTTCGAAATCTCAGTCCAATCGCCCAGAGAGAAAAGTTGTTTTTTTATTCCGTCTTGTTATATATTTATCCTGTAATTGTAAAGATGAAGGGAGGTTAAATATTCCTTTTCTTTTCGCGTATGTCCACCCAAAATTTTTCTGTAGATTTCTTTTTTTCTTACTTTCTTCTTATGAGCATGTTTGTGAATGAATCTCAAAAGCAGACTCCGAAATCGGTAGATCAAGATTAGCCAGATTCTCTGTACTATGAAAAAGTAGTCGGAGAAATTAAATTATAAAATAAAAAAAAAAAGTCCTACTGTATCTTACTTACTACGTCAAGACCGCTCTCTTGATAATAATATAAATGATTTATAATATAATGATATATTTTCTTTTGTAATTTCTATTTCATCTTCAAAAACTTTTCGAAATCTCAGTCCAATCGCCCAGAGAGAAGAGTTGTTTTTTTATTCCGTCTTGTTAATATATTTATCCCGTAATTGTAAAGATGAAGGGAGGTCAAATATTCCTTTTCTTTTCGCGTATGTCCGTCCAAAATTTTTCTGTAGGTTTCTTTTTTCTTACTTTCCCAGAATTCCGTTACTTCGGAAGAATTAATTATTTCTGGAGTAGAGAACAAAGATCGATTTTTCTTTAGAAAGATTTGATATAATTAAAGTAAGCTGCGTGGACAGCTCGTTTTTCATTCAGCTTTAAAATAGCTTAGCATCAATTTGTCGAAGGCAATTAAACATATCGAAACGTATCGCCAGATTAGATATTTTCCCAAAATTTATACTTGAAAATAGATTTCATCTTCAGTAACGATCAGTAAAAATAAAAGTAAACATGAGTGAAATTTCCGGATCACGAGAAATGTAGCAGAGATTTTTTACTGTTCTGCGTGCCGCTGCATTTGTATTTTTTCCGAGTGAAATTTCCGGGTCATGAGAACTCCTACTGTAATTAATTTATTGCACGTGACTATATTATAGATCGTCACGTAATGAAAAACTTGCAAATTTGGCGAATTTTTTATATACTGGAAAAATGATCCGAAAATATATAATTATTACAGTACGGAAATTTCATTAGAAAACAATGCAAATACAGCTGTATGTATGCTGCATAAGTGTGCATAGAGAACACCCCCATGTCTTTTATTTTTGATAAAAAACTTCTGATTTGCTTTAGCTCTGCTTCTATGATTTGAACAGTTTTGAAAACTTCAGTTAGAAATAATTGGAGGCTAATCATGGCTGCTGAATTGCCAGCTGTTAGATTTGGTGATTTGTTGAAGGGTTGTTTGTTACTTGTGCAAATGATCCTTTGTTTGTAAATCTGCTAGTAGTTTTGTTAAATTGTTTTCAGGTTCTAAGATAATCTTGATTGTTTGATTCAATTTTTCTAATATGTATTTTTTCTTCTGATTTGAAGCATTGATAAAGTATATTGTATCTTTTTGCTTTTCTTTGAGTACTTATTGTTTTTCTTAATACTTAACTTTGATTGTATATTATACTATCAAGTAATTTGATAAGTTACAAATTATATATAGTTTTTCATCTATTTCATGCCATTGTAAAAGTGTTTTTCCCAAGTGTACTTCTCTGTTTTTGGCTTTTTCTTTTGCTTTTGCTATTATAAAGTTAAAAGAATAACAAATTGCTTTTTTGTATAATTACAATTTCAAGAAATATAATATAATATTACTTTGGTTATATTGATTATTTCGTACAAATTACTGTATATCTAGTAGTGCCTAGTAAATGATTTGTAAACTTGAAAATATATCTGTCTCATAATTATTTAATTTCATTGGTTTTTAAGAATAGATAAATTCTTAAGAGTTCTTTTTTAAAGAGAATATTCTATCTTTTTTGCAATTTTATTATATTTTTTTTATTCTTTAAATTCAACTAGTATACTTTGTCACATGCCTGTAGTACTCATTTTTAAGTTATAAATTTGCTTGAATTGGATTAGTTTTTGTTCAATTTTTTATTAATTGGTATCTAAAGAAATGTTTTAGATGTAAATAGTTTTGTTTTTAGCTATTGCCAAATCTAGATTAATCAAAATAATTATACAATAATTATTGTTTTGCTGAATTGACACCTTATATATTTTTTGTGCATTCTTTTGATTGATAAATAAGATAATAATCAATTTTTTCCTGTTGCTATACCACCTGGATACCTATATAGAAGTCCAGATAAATGATTGCTTCTTTGATTGTCTTGAGTTTTTACTTTATAAAGTTTGTTAAGTTTTCTACTTAGATAGTCATTTTATAATAAAGGTGACTATATTAAATACATTAGTCTATAAACAGACTGAATAGGGCTCCTAATGATACCACTTCGATACCAGTTCGATACTTAAATTTACTATAAAAACATATAAGTAGGTCACAAC